CTCAGAGTAGTCTTGGAATTGAAACAGTATTGTCGGAAACGTCCCCCATACGGAGCAAGGAATTAAACTATCGACGCTTTCTGCTTCTGCTCACCATCAACCTTTTCGGAACTTTGGCATAAATGCCTGTCTACGAAACTGCAGGATGCGGTGCCAAGGAGACACATTATCCAGCAACCTCGGCTCCTCTGTGCCGTAATGCCTGCTGACTAACCTGCGCCTCAATAGTTGCTGTTGTGGTAGACAGCTTTAAAGTGTTTGTTGTTCTCGAGAAGCTACCAGACTGGAGGGCACCGTATTGTCATTTGACGCCATTGTATCACGAAAAGAGGGCTCCCCCACTTTTCATTCCTTCATTGTGAATCACGTTCGCGAAAAATCTGAGTTAAGTTACTTTCAAAGATTCCACTTGTGTGCGATGCTGGAAAACACGAGTTCTGAATCCTCAAAAACTCGTCTCCTATGAAATAACCAACGATCGGCGTGCCCACTGGCATTCTATGGAGTTGTTCGCGGATATGGCCATGTGGAACGAAGGCATTTACGTCGTAGTTACATTCTCCTTGGAGCAGGTTGTCGAAAACCATCCTATGCAGTCGTCTGGGATCGAAGGAGAGGAGGAAGAGAGGACGCCAAATCATACTACCCCTTTGTTTAGAGATGCTATGACGCCTGTGAGTCCTTCTTGTGGATCTGCCGTGAACAACGACTGTGTTCTGAACTCCCTATCTAATCCTTTGAACGTTTGACGAGCGATTTCTTTTGTTCATAGGTAGATGGGCCCTGGAGTCCAACAGTTAGTCAGTGGGTAAAGGCTGGGAAAAATGCTAGTTTAAAAAATGCCTTTCTATGGTCCCGGGTGAGTTCTGACTTTTTATTCGCTATCTGCCTTAGAGTAGATAAGACGCCGAACTTCATGCGAGGACGATACGCCTTAGCTTAAGCTAGACTTATAAATGGAGTTGGAGCTAGGTCGGCGGCGAGAGTCGGGTTTAGATTACTAGGGGTGGGGGTAGTGAGAATATAAGGACTCAGTTCAAACCCATTCCTAACCTCGACCACAACCTCCACATTAATCCTCCAAAGGTAATTACCTGATCCAAAAACCTACCCCAGTCTAGCGTTGATTACCCTGCCCAAATTTGACGCAAACCGAACCACCAAATCCAATCATTCTACGAAGTATATGAACCTTGCCATAACATCGGTTTTGACCTCAATCCCAACCTTATCCCTAATCCTGACCATAGTGCCAATAGATGCGAACAGGCGAGTCCCAGGTAGCAGTTCAGAAGATGAAGATGCGATCGCATCTTCACCATAGTGCCAATCCCATTCCTTTGTCGAACCTACCAAAAACTTTACGCCCCAGTGAAAGTTAAAATTTCCACCTACTAGGCTTCAATCAGTAGTGAAGATAAAACTACAATAATTCACCCGGAGGCAAGGATAGCACCCATGAAGCATCAAAATCCACGAAGGCCAAATGCTGTTGCATCTTATGACACCTGTCTTTTTCTGATATTTCGTGCTATCTACTCACCAGATTCAGGCCCATATCAGTTTTACATGCCAGAGCTCTCGAGGGATTCGAGCAGACGACTTGGCTGGCTGCCGCGTACACAATCTTTTGGGAACAGCGGTAGCCCGTCCGCCTAAGCAATCAGAGTCTCCCCATCTCTCCTAACTAATTTGGAACGCCTGTTCGTTAGAAACATGCATGTATATAACCTTTCCTCCTCGGAGCCAGTATCTTCTGAAAAAAGGTTGTTCATATAAACGCACTAATGAAATTCCATCGTTTTCATACTACGAGTGTACTTGATTCAGTGCATTATGTTCATTTCCCCTTGTATTCTACCTGTAAAATAATTTACTTAATCACGGGGCGCAGAGAATTTACAAAAAACCGATAACTGCGATCGTTCCCCCCGCTGTCACGCGTCCTAGTAGAGTGCCTCGTTTGAACGCCTTCATTTTCGTCCGCCCAAATGTTTTGAGGAAGGCTAGGATCGGAATCCCGAAAAACGCAAATGAATTCGGTTTTCACATGAGGCAGTTAGTAATGTCTGTTTCCCTTTAATCCAAAAGGAAAAGGCGATTTTGCTTCCAATATTTGAATTTAGACAGCTTTCTGCAGATGCCGGTTACAAAACTCCGATTAACCTCCCAGAGATTATCCGCAAACTAAAGATCTGCTCAGACTAAAAGGAGACTTGGCAACTCAATAATAATAACAAATTTCAGAGAATAAGCCCAGCATGATGCGCCGATTGAATAAATCACTCCTACTTAAACCATTAAAGCAACAATGTTCATGTATGTTTTGGCAGATTTTGAATAATTCATATTGACCCAACTGTGAAAAACTCGGCGCCTCGGTGGGATTCGAACCCACGCAGTAGGTGGGAAGGCTTTAGCGCAGCCAACGCTCTAACCACCTGAGCTACGAGGCCCCGCCCGACGACGCGAGTTTAATCACATTTGAGTCAAGTTACCCGCCCAACCTACTGCAACGTATGGAATCCACCAAATCTGATACAGTAAGTTGACTGCCCCAGCAGGATTTCCTAAGTAATTCACCTAGAATCCACCAGATGACTACCAGGCTCGCGTAATTCATTGATGTTTTGGCAGATTTTGAATAATTCCTGTTCATGTAGATGAAAAGGGAATGCCCAGTTTGGTCGGCAGTCTAAGCGGGAAGCACATCTGCCAGCACACAGGTTTGTCGGACTGGTTGGATCCTGTATTGTTCTAACAATTGCGTCACACTAAGCGGTCCTTTGCATATTGCTTCCTGGGCAACCACAAGCCTTGCCAGACATGCGAATACCAAGATGTGCAATCCCACAGTTTTTCTCCCTCCTTATTCGAAGGACGGCGTCCAGATGTCTTTTGGATTTCAACATCCGACCCGTTTGCTGATGACAAGCGTATCATCCACTCTGCAACCCTCGACCAGTGATCCCAAATGTCGCAAAACCGTCTCGCTAGCGAATTCAGAATGCGCTGAATAGTTTGATGCGTGTTGAACCTTCTAATGGACCGTTAGGATTGAAATGAAGATGACTTTGAGTGAGAAACCTCGACTCCTTTGCTCCCGCCTCCTCCATGGATGGCAAATAAGAACGCCAAATGGAATGTCACTCATAACAGGGAAACATGCATAGTCTTGTGGGATATCTTCTCTACTACTTTACTCACGTGGCATGACGGTTTGGGTAAAAATTATGAGATACTGAAATTGGGCAGTCAGGAGATCGTCTTCCCCCTCCCAATTACCAAACTACCCACTCACACCGGACCTCATTTCTGCGTAGTTCGGCTAACTCATATTTCGCGTGTGATCTTCTCAACGCAGAAACGGTGCATTTTGTTTGCAATTTACCAAATAGGTTAAATTAACATGTTTGCATCCTCTGCCCTCCACAAGTAAAAATATCCGTCATATCACCAATAAGGGGGGCTTCGCGGAAGTTGGGGTTCTGTGAGAAGAAAACAGCAGGCGGCTGCTCATACGGGACGATCAGATCCCGTGCCCCGGTCGGTGAACGTCCTTACTGTCCTACTGAATACCCCTCGATCGCAACCCGATCGCCCGTGTCCCAGTGGGACCTAATTACGCTCGATTACCAAGTCACGTGGGTTCGAAGCCCAGGTGCAGCAAACCCGGGTCTGGGTAGGGCTAACTGAAGATGGTTGACAAGTCGAAATTGGCCATCCCGGTCTTCCCTGCCTTTGTCGGAAATAGGTGCGCAATTGCCTGAGAGGGCAGCGGGACGGGCATGGCCCAGCATACTACTTGTTCTGTGGGAGTAGCGAGCGATAGGTAACTGTTTGTTGCGTCGTAGGCAACAAGGCAGAGCAGCATCGAGCATTCTCAAAGTGTTGAGGGGTCCGGAATCAGTAAAGCTCAAGTTAGTCTAGAGCTGGTGTTGAGGTTGGCGTTATGGTAACCGAACACTAACCCCAACCCGTGCTACCGTTCACGTCATCTGCCGTCTACTAGGCGCCGTCAGGTTGGCGGCGAATAAATACATATTCCCAACTACCTTACACAATTAAGTAGCTTGGCGAAAGGGTTCTTCACACTTTCAGGGGGGGCAACAAGAAATTGACCTTGCAAGCAAATGGCTGGGGTCAAATCTTCACTATACCAAAATTCAAAGAATATCCTGGAGAAAGTCGACCGTTGGACGACTTTCATGGAAATTTGTACAGGCTCTGCATTTACCATGGCCAGAAGTGGGTTAGCTTGATAACTGCATTCGCTTTTTGGCTTCCCCCCTCCCCAGACACGGCTCATTTTCTGACCTGATCGCTACTGACTATTCTCATATTCCCCATCTCCCACATGTGTGAATAGTTGAACATTGTAATGCTTCTCTTACTACCTACATGTTTTGATCTACCCCTTTGTCATATAAATGTACTGGACTGGTGCGAATTTATCGAAAGCTGACGTATTCTTGTCAAATGGTCCTCTAGAAAACAAACTCTCAGACTTCGCGACGTTGTGAATGTGCTCAATCAGGCAGAGTTGACACTGTTTGCCACGATTTTAGGTTGTTGGCGAAGTCGTTCTTGATCCTGTAACTCGATATGAGCTGCGCACACGCCGAACGCTATCGACTTGGACACGAGAATAGGTACTCCCCTATTACAGGCGGCCTTGAGCTGAATTCCGGGGATACCTATTCCCGTATCCCGCCCATTATCGAGACTTACAGATCATCAGATAAATCAACTGTCATCAAATTGATTGGATTCTGGCGTAAGATGTTCTTCCTTCAATGAAAACACCACGGGGGGAGGAACGCATCACATAATCGCGTGGGAAACAAAGACTCCGCCAGCAGTTACGCGAACCCGAAGAGAATCTGCGTCTGGCAACTGACTGAACGACAAAAAGACACGCTGATAGGGAAAAAAATGTCAGACTCTTTTGTACTATATGCATATATACACATATATGAGGTCGGAAATAAGAAATGTGATCAGTCACCGATGCAGTCTGCCTCCCCCGCTGGCCGCTTGGCGACTATAATATCCTCCAGGAGGCTCGGCAAGCACTCCATGCACTCGGGGCAGCAGTCTGCTCGCTCATCATCCGAAGCGTAGACCAACGGCGTCTCGTGAAGGAATGCATAGGCACGACTTCTGTTACGAAATCCTGCGACGAACTCATGCAACAACTGATCACCGGATGTGTTCGATGCCTAAAAGAAGGCACAAGAAACGCGGACATAAAATCGGTCATACCCTAAGACTAGGTCGTATTATCGAAAGCAGCGCGTGTGTGAGTTCCCAGCCCCTGAAATGGTACTTACTTGTACTTGTAATTACATTAAGCAGGATGACTTTAGCCGGCTTCATGATAAAAGTCCCCGACACCACGAATGACCGTTCTTCATTGCAATCGGTCGGCATCAAACCCCAGAGCAAAGTTAAGTCAATTCACACGTCAGTTCCGCAGACCAACGGGGCTAAAGATACGCTCAAGGTCAGATCTAAACACGTCCACCCAGGCCTTCAGTCGGCCAGCCGTCGTCAGTCAGATGACATTATGGTCAGTAGAAAGTACGGCCGAGCCACATTTGATCGATTGAATTCCCGGTTGATTACATCCTCCTCACCATTTGAGGACGCGATCGGAGGGACAGATCCGGAGAGTAAAGCGTGAGCCTCATTGATTAAACACATTCCGGTGAGAAATACCATCTAAGCGCGCAGGCCAGACCTCACAGATAGAAGCATTCTCTTGACGGAGGCTTCGTCTCCTAGGAAATTGACCCTCATGCTAACACAAAATCGATTACAGGAGTTTCAACGAATTCGGATAAGAGTCGTGCGCGCCCGGTTAGTTTAGCTACCGATTGCCTGCTTGTATTTGAATTTTGGAAAACCTTCTGGCCTGAGGTAACATAAATCATTCACTAGTTCTTAACGACCAGGCAAATATCTCCGATCACAATGCCAGAAACGACCATCTGTGCGCTGAAAGAACCGATTTTCAAGGCCGATTTCGCCGCCCCCACAAGCTTTTCGGGGCACGGCACATTGCATCTCTGCCAATGGGCTCGTCAGTATCGCAATGTCACCGTCAATAAGCCAATTGCAACTGCCTGTAACACTGAGATGCTCTAAAGAACCCACTTTATCAAGCAGCTGACCGGGTCCGTACATCGGAGGTACACCAGATAAGTCACGCCCCTCACCATTCCAACGAATATCCGTCCTAGTTCTGTGAAAAAGGGGAAGTAATTTCAACAAAATCTCATCCGAACATATGGAAGATCATTAAGAACCTTTGTGGGCAGGGCGAAGAAAAAATAAGACCTACGAAAGAGATAGTGGGGCTGTTCGCGACATTGACAGCAGTATAGCGTTCGAAGAAGCGTGGAGTACTAATCAATAAACCCTGTCACGACCGGAAACGGAACTAGTTCCGTAAGAATGATCGGTGAGCGCCCCCTACCATTGTATATTCCCGATCGAAACCGACAGGGCAACGGGCTCGTAGCCCAGTGGTTAGAGGCGTGGACTTCTAACTAACAGGTCGCGAGTTCGAGCCTCGAGTGTTCCACACTTCGGGGTTAGGTATCACTGGCTGACGACGGCTAATAAGCCAGAAATGGCCATTCAAGTCTCCCTTTTCTTTGTCGGTAATGCCATTCTGACTGAACTAGTTATCTCATGTTCGCGAGCCAGAGTACAAGCACAAGCGACCAAGAGGAGCTTTGAAGACACCATATTCGGGCGCCGATGGTTTGGGAGATGCAGCCGCCCGGAGCGCTGTTTTCGACACCGACGGTATCACCACGCCTTGGTTACCTTTGATTGTTTAGGCTGATGGTCTGGAGAACCGATTCCTCACTAAAATTCGGCATATGTGATACTCTAATTATTTGGAACGCGTTCGTGATCTCGGACAGTTTTACACTAGCGTACGTTGTGATCATGCTGTGCAGGGTGCATGATCTCAAGACATAGGCCTGCAAATTTCAGATTGTCAAGGAAGGCGAGTAGCACTACCAGCCACTCGGGCTGCTGTGACCGAGCACTTCCTGGCAGGTTCACTGAAGCTAGCCAGCGATGAAGCCAGGTATGTTCTGCCTCAGATGCGGTTGTGGCCTGCGTCAATGAGCTGGGCTGGTTGCAGACAGCCAGACAGACGTCCCCGTAGCAGTGGCAGGATTTTTGAGATGGCCAGTATCTGAATTCCCTGCACAAAGTGTCCTGCAGACAACACGTAATGCAAGCCACGGCCGAACCTCCACAAGAGTGTGGTCAAGCAGGACCCAGAGTGAAACGGATAACCCCCATCACCACCCTATGCTGCCTTTGTTAATTCACTATAAAGATACAGCAGTCTGGTCGAACAGGACTGCCACAACAAACTCCGAAGCCTAAGGCGCCTTAACTCATTGCGTGATGCAAGCTGGCAACAGTTAAGAGAAGCGAAGGCTTTAATCAAAGCATATTCCTCACCTCAACCAGGCCGTGCCAGCTGGAGATGAGGACTGAACGAACCGCGGGATCCTCTTCCACATCCGCGGCCAGTAAAGACATGCACACAGCTAGCAGTTCATCGCAGGCAGATTCTGAGCCATTGGTGGAAAATTGGCAGGTGGACAGGCAATGGAGTAGACAGGCCAGGAGGGTGCCTTTCAAAACCCCAGGCACACCAACACCCTCAGCAGATGCCAAGGGTGTCGAGAGAGTTAACAGGCGCTGCAAGACCTCCCCATTTAGGCCCGGCACACATCTGTCATCCAGCAATTTGCAGAGGAAAAGACCCCTCTGGACGGAGAGTATACTGTCATTTGAAATTTCGCCTGGGTTGGCGCAGACCCGGAGACTGACCAGCTCCTGCAATTCAATGAGCTTGAGACAGGCGTGCGATAGGGCGCTGTCAGTGACGGCCTTGGTGAAGAAGAAGTCGAAAATGCGTAGAAGCAGGAAGGAGTGAAACAGGATCCCACCGGATTTGTGCAGAGTGGAACATTCGTCATAGGCTAGTTGGAAAACAGCGTCAAATGCATCGGCTTCGGCCTGGGGATCAAACTCCGAATGAATGTACAAAAGACAGAACACATCGGATTCCTGAGCTGACCAACGCACCGGGCGGTCAGAAAACCCGTTAAGCTTTTTTAGTAATTCGTTAAATCGGCTTTTATTACACGTTGTTCTTTCGTGTGGGATATATTTCCCCAATAAATTCCACACAGCACGCAAAACGCTCGATGACGACTGAGGCGCTGATTCATCAAAATTGGCCAAAGCACGAGACCAGAGCAGCGGTACAAAGTCCGCGGGAGTGCTCTTTCGGAAAGAATTCAGAGCCAGAAAGTCACTCTGACAAGAAGCCAGTGGTGAGAGCAGTCGCAAAAGGTCTACGTTCGGGGCACTTTGAAGTGCAGAAAGGGCTTCTGAGTGCCAGGCGGTAACAAGTGCATCTGAAAGCTGACATTCACGTAGGACGTCGTTCACGAGGGCCCGTCTCAGGGTTCTGGCCGCAACGCGTCCAGTGCTGCGGGGCAACACTTCAGCACAAACTTTGGCTGCTAAATTCTTTGACAGTAAGGGGCAGATAACAAGAAGGAGGTAGAAGGAATCTTCTAGGGCATCGGCTGACAACGTAGAGGGTAAGGCAGTTAAAACCGCCTCCACGAGAGAGGACAACTTTGCCAGAAGTAGATTTGCCGGCTGAGACTGAAGGCACTCGGAGAACTTAACGATATGGGTACAGAAATCAATGTGGAACGGGTCGACTGAGCTTTTGGCACTCTGGGAGAACTGGAGTAGTCCATCAATCGCGTCCTCCGGTATATCTTTCTGGGCGCAGATCTGGGAGAATAGTAAAAACAGCAAGCTGTTTAAAAGTGCTTTTCGGTGTACGATATTTTCGGAGAGGTCATAACTCCTCCGAAGAGCAGGAATCAAGGGCGTAGAGTGAATTTCATGGAATGTAGCAAGTGCCTTCGGTTCCATCAGGACTGACTTCATAAACCGCCCCACCGCGCAGATAATAAGAGGGTCCTCCGATGTTAGGAGTTTTTCAAGAAGACTGCTGACTCTTGATGAAACCGTGTCATTAAGGCCGTTGCGAAAATGCCAGACAATAGCGAACTTTATCTTCAACAGACCACATGCGAGTTCAATATCATCAGGTAATTGTTCGAGCGAATCCAAGACAGCGTCGAGATGACGGGCTTCCAACGCTTTCCAGAAGGAGGCATGGGTGGAATGCAAGCAGTAGAGACAAGTCTCTAGCCTGTTCAACAAGGTGTCATCGAGGTGTTTGGAGAAAATGTGTTGGTGATGGGTCAGGAGTTTCAAGAGTTTCGGAGGCAGATTCATGATTGTCTATTGTGTGTGTCAGATCTGAAAATGGAGAGAACAAAGGAAAAGTTTTTACCGTCTGGGTTAACGACCGTAAAAATGAGGCAAATACTGTGGTAGGCATGGATGAAGCGATGGAGGTTAACACATGCCTAACTGGCATGGAAGCGGGGAAGAAACGTGATTTCGCTACGAAGTTCTTGTAGAGCAGCATGTTCGTACGGGGCTTAAAATCACTTGTTAAGAAGCGACGGCCAGTTGGTTGAAACTACATTTGTTTGACCACCATAGCCATCAATCTATCGATATTCAGCAGTTGGCATTACTACCACCGAACTCATTATTTGGGGACCCCAAGTGATTCAAAGGGGTTCATATAAACTTAACTCCTAGTTAAACACTCTGTCCGTGAAGTATGGGTGTCCAATGCAGTGTGGCGATCAGGTTATATGGTTATATTGCTTATTACAAAACGACATCCTAAGTTTACTCACGCATCGTAAAATTCTGGTTTGCGGTCGAAAATCTTTCGACTGACGTGTGTAAATCACCTTGCAGGCCTAGGGTGCAATTTATTAATGAGAAAAGCCAACAGCGATTACGAATTTATCCCTTCCTAGGACTTAATTGCCTACAAAAGGAAAATTCCGCACATTTTGAATTCGAAAAGCAACAGTTTTGCTACACATTCGAGTGTTTACGAGTTTTAATGAGTGTCGCACATACAGTCCGCCTTACAATTACGGGGGCACATGCCTTCTGGCAGAAGTTACAATAATTTTGTGTAGACCGATCTGTTTTTTTTTTCTCACAGGGTGTAAACAGCAGCAAATTTTGGTTATCGGAGAGGACTACTTTGTCATTTATGATCTTAAGGCGCCGCAACCGTTGTTCCTTATGGTACTTCCTCAACAGCGCTATTCCTCAGGGGTTTCGATATGATAACAGTGATGAACTCTTTATGATCCTGTTAATCATGTTTTTGAAAACCCCAGAGCCAAATTTTCCTAGGTGGTGTTCATGCTACTGATCCTCGCAGTTAACTTACGTAGTACTGTTCCTTTCACCTGACGTTCATCGTTCATTCTACTCGCGGGTTTTCACGGCTTGAGGTGCTTTTATTTATCAAGGTTTTTGCTCCCCTCAGGCGTCGTCCGATTTCTTTAGAGCTTAAACTCGTTCCACGCAACGCTAGAAACTCATCTACCCCAAACTCCTTCAGTTTCATTATTTTCAGTGGGCGCTGGAATCGAAAATGAATGCAGCGTATTGGTTTGGTGAAAAAAATTGACTGATGAATGTTACTCATGTGGTTGCCGACATCTTATCGGTCGGTAATGACAATACCTCGACCTTAACAAAGCTCAACATCAGCATTGTGCTACAAACCCAATCCAGGAGCGAAGAAACGCTGGCACATTAGTTGGCCTTATGGTTGAAGGCGTCCATATTTTGACTATCATTATTACTTTACGGTACGTCAGACTATTTCGCGATAAAAAATCACCCATATTAAAAACTGACATCTGTTACTTCCTCGTGAGAAAAATCAAAACGATACAGGCCACACTGTTTAAATTTTGGTCAACAGCAAGGGACTTTATAACTGTGGGACAGATTGTACGAAAAGGAAGGAAAAGAAAGGGAATTCGATATATGCATACAAATACCCGGGATCTAACCAATCGGTGAAGGAACGCATGGACCAGAAAATATCTAGATATTTCTGAAATTTCCTAATTTTTAAGTCCTGAACGTGGTATTCTCACCCAGAAAAGGGAGCGGTTGCCGGAAGAGGTTCTTTAACTCCCCAACACCTCGAACACCAATATTACTACCCGTTTTCAGATACTCGAGTTTTTCTGTGGAAATAGTATTATAAGGCACGCTGGTGATGCGTTTTACTGGACACGAATTTTGGTGAAGGAGGCGCGCAGCCAACGGGATCGCAGATGGTGCCAACTGGGGCGATAATGTACCTTAACGGTATCCTGCCTTGTGTCAGTTGATTCCGAATCGTATATGAATAGTGGTCTGAGCGCCTTTTCCAGTGATGGCGCCAGCTGTATCGTACTAAGTGTCGGCTGTACTGCAAACCCGATAGACCGTGTCTACCTTCGTCGAGTTCTCGCTATTTGCGTCTACATTTGTTAGACAAGGTGGCTTAATGCACCTCCGACCCCTAATAAGTTAATAGCGAGAAGCAGCGTATGTCGCAGTGAGATCAACGTTTCGACCGACCGGGCGAATGGCTGTTGGCCGCACCCTTTTGTTGCTTCAACGTGCGACCGTTCTTCTGGTCTACTACCTCTAACCCGAAAAAGTGAAATTGCGCTTACCTGGACGACGAAGATTGCTGTGGATTAAGGTGTACAGTTTATTCCCTTATACGCCCTATGCAGTCTGTATGTATATGTTCTATATGTCTGCCAGCAACCACCGTAACGCACCGCCCTAACAACCCGCTGCTCGTGAACCCCTGACAGACTTGAATACTGGTTTACGAACAGTACAGTAGCAGCAGTCGTCTTCAAAGTCAATATCCGCCCCCATTATACTACTGGGTCGCGGACTGCAGGGAAAGGGGAGAAAACGTCCAAAACGCGATGTCCGCAGTTTATGGGTTCTGAGGAATTTTCTAATCAGTAGAAGCACCAATTGCTTTCTGTACAGCATGTTTACTCTTTCCCAAGGATAAAACAGTTGGATTGGCAGAGGACGATAGATAGAATAATACCTTGCCTCGAGCCAGTCAAAATGAGCATCATTATGGGCCTAAGACGAATACTCCAAAGCAGTACTAATGCTAGAAAAGTCATAGGGGGCTGCATAAGAGGCTAGTTATCGTTCGTCAGCGCCAAAAGAAGCAGAAACTCCGGCAGATGCTTCCCAAGCCCTTTCAGGGACCCATATCTCCAGCGCAGCAATATGAGCGAACTCCTATTGCGTTTCCCGGCGATGAAGAAAACCACAACCTTGCAAAGGATCGTGCACTGGATTGACTTAGGTGACAAAACCGACAGGGATTGATTCAGTGGATTATCAGTTACCTTCTTAAAGTGCACTTGGATTGACACTTACAATTATGTGACGACAAAGGGATGGCTGATCTGCGATGCAGTGAGTCGTACGCAGTAGTGGTGGATAAGCTGCTCTTCCTAGTTATACGGAAGTCTCTTGAGAAGGCACATGAGTCAGTAAGAAAAACCGCAACCAATAGAGAGCTGAATAACGTCCTATGAAGTGCATGAAGAAGGCCGAGCACACTTACGTCAAACGTATGCTCAACTCATTGTCACAAACGGATATTTATTCTTAATCATGAAAAGAATTAAACAACTGCTTTCCTTTTTTTGTAGAACCAACAGGAGGAGCATCAGCACAGACTTAAAGGTTAGTACTAAGGAGTTCGGTGTGTTGATAAGATTTTAAGTAATTCCTTTCCCAATGATAAAACGACTGTTAAATCTAGCACAACAGTGTTCTGCTCAAACTTCTCAGATGGGGAATTTATGAAGGCATTTGCACAGAACTAAGTAGATTGCTCGAGTTAGTGACTGCAGAAGAAGTAATCTACGGAAATCGGGCTTACGGCCTATCACAAAACACATGGTGTACTAAATCAATGAAATATTAACTCTTACAGTCATAATGATAACACTTTTCCCGTACATAACTCACTCCCATTGACGGCAGTTTGTGACTTCGCTGCTGGTCTTGTCATTTTCTGTTAAGGAAAATCTATATATCAGTCGGTTCCCACAAGCAGAGTCGGCGGCACCAAAGTCTCAAGGACGTACGCGTGCTCGCATCAACTGGGCGCACCGCTGATGTCCGCTCGTTGGACGGCATCCAGCTCAGGCCTCTAAGGTGGTCTTATCTTCGCATTCAGCAGTCGAAAATGTGGCGAGCGTCATATGCACACATCGATTGCGCACCTCATTTCCAACTCCTTTTACAGTGCTGGTACTTTCGGCAGTGTGGTAAAGACTGTGTGTATAGAAACGTGCGTCCACGGCGACTGAACTTGTGGCAAACTGCGCCGGCTCCTAGGGTCTGATAGGGGGACTTGTGAGGGGAGTGGGTCACGAAGTTCAAGGGACGAGTACACGCTGGAAGTGCATATGACGCCAATTAGTCGATCTGATACAAGGCAAAATCCGAGTTGCCAGTGGCTGCCACCCAGCTGGAGGTGTACATCACTGAAAATGGTTGCAACCATGAGGATGCGTAATACGCAACAAGATTAGTAAAAGTGGACATGAAACCCAATCATGTTTCAGTTGCCATTCTTGTTAAATGTTCACATTTCGTGATATTCACTAGATAAATGAAAATGAAATGAAAAATAACTGGACAAAAACGAACAGCCAGATTACCAATAATACATATGTTACACATTAAACCAGGTTTTTCAAGGCCATCAGTGAGCTCGTTAGAGGGGTTGTATGGTGATCGAAGGCACTGTCCAATGCTCACCGCAGCGTATATGAGGCAAAGTAAGCTTTCATCCTTGAATTTCTATTTTTAAATGTAAATCAGCATTATTGGCAATAAGTTAACGGGACTGTAGAAATCACTGGAACGAGGCAGAAATTCTGAAAGATAGGAACACGAATGGTTTATGGGGAAACATAATTCGCGTGCTGCTGAGATTTATGCCCATCAGGGTACGTTCAAAGGTCCCATGATATAAAACACAACAATACTGCCGCCAGATTACTTGAAGGTCCCAGTACGCGTTAAAAATGTCTTCTCGCGTCCACCGGCCCACGAGGGGCAGGTTGCCAGCATCGATGTCCACGGCGGTTTTTGCAGTGGCAAGTTTACAGAAAACATCAAAAAGGAGGGTCAGGTTAACCCATGTCAAAGGGCTCTACAAATTGAATGATTCTAATAATTGCTTGGTCGTTCAGCAAAGTAGTATCGTAGTCTCATCTCGCCGAGATTTGATGACTCCCTCAGCAGTTAATATCCCCTCCGCACCTGGATACTAAGCGGATTGCGATCAATCGTGT